TACTGCCTATATAGTTCAGTACGTACATTGTGCATCTGTAGTATGTGCATGATGAACTAATGTAAACTTTTATGGCAATTTTACTGTACAAACATCTATCCATCAATCTACTGACCCACACCTTTGTTGATACCCAGTTTCGCATAAAAAATATCCAGCAATACCAGATCGTTTTAGTGACACAATTGGGTTGGCTGTCCACAGAAAATAAGAAGCAACTTTTGTGCACTTAAGGTATTCTTTGTTTCAATTTCATTCTTCTGTTTACTGTATCTTAATACTGTGCTGTACTGTCAAACGGTTTTATAAACTGAAAATTCAGTGGCAATTAAGGTAAGGGTTATCACTTCATTTCTTTTTCAATTATGATGGGTTCTTTACTTATCTTATGAAGCCTAGAACCAAATAAGATGGAATATAATGGAAATACAGACACTTAATAAAATAAGATTTTCAATCTTCATACAACACCTCACAGTCTTGTCAAGAAGGCTACACAACTAAAATATAAATACAGTCACTACAAAATCATAAACCACAAGCTCAGCTGCATGAAGAATGCAACCAAGCTCAGTGAGTCTACTGGCTTTTGCCAGGATAGTGATGATAAGTCCTATCACCAACACACTTTTAGATACTGAGAACTGGACATTAAAAGTGGGACTTTCAGATATTGTACCTTCTTAACTGACAATGCATGGTCATTCAATATCTACCTTGGCAATATTGTTCTTTATGCAGCATTGCAAGTGATCAAAATCTTTCAAAGAATCTAATTACTCTGTACCTGTATGTATAGAAGTGAATATTATTATTTTTTTTAATTATATTTGCTTGGGCTCATTTGTTTCAAGTGAGTTATAACTTTATCAAAAGCCTATAAAATAAATAGAAAGTGCCTTTGATAAGAAAAAACAAACAAGGAAAAGTATTAATCTAGAGGTTAAATTATATGTTTTAATGCATTTTGATGCTGGAGAATAACCTGTTGCATCATTAGAGTGCTTGACCAACCTGCCATGTTGGTGAGAAAAATTCATGAGGAGACAAAGTTAAAGAATGTGCTCAAATTATAACATATAGAACAGCAACTAAAATAACTCGTAGCAAATGTCAAGCTATGAAAAATATGATAAGGCTTTTAAACACTTTTAACATCTATCATTAGATGAAGAGGCATGAAATCCTGATGCTTTATCTCAATAGCTCCACTATCACCTACCCCAGCTGACTCTATATGCTGTCTCCTCAACCATCCCCAATGGCATTTTATTAGCATAAACAGTATTTTATATCTAAATATTTATTTTCATAATTTTCTTTATGTTTTATTGTAATTTTCTATGCTTGTGTTGGTAAGCCACAATTACCTGATGGCAACTGCAAGGGAAACAAGAAAAGGTTGCCCGCCACCAGATCATGCAGCAAAGACCAGGGGATGGAAACAGCTATGGTGACCAAGTTGCCATCCAACATGTTGAAACAAAGTTTTATGGCTAAATGTCATTCCTACAGTAATGTCAACCTACAGTGTGGGAACAGCTGGTATGGCAGGGTCATAACTCTCAAAGGTAATCGAAGACCTCTTATAATGACAATTTTGGTACCATATCTAATTCGTATTTTGTCAAGAAAATCTTGACCAGAAATGCCCTGCAGGAATGTAAACACCTATTTATATCATTGGGTCTATGTCCACAGTATAGTACATTGTCTTATTGTCTTAATTAATGTTGCCCTTTTCAAGAACATGTGTCCTATATACTGTACAGTATAGCAAAATACTGTACAGTATACAAATACAGTAGTAGATGTCACTATGTGCAATGAACCATTAAAACTTCACCTACGAACCTTAGAATATTCTTTGTTAATTTAACCCTTTCACAGCGTGTCACGCACTTGCCATTTTATTCTGGCTACTGCCAGACGATTTTATTCAGCTTCGAGTAACCTCCCGCTGCGAAAGGGTTAAGTAAGACTGGGTAAAATTTGTTGAGTTTTAAAATACTGTTAATCAACTTAAGACTTTCTCTGGAAGAAAATCACAGAAAAACCAATACAGTGATCCCTCGGTTAACGAGTGCCTCGGTTAACGAGATTTCGGTTAACGATTTACCTTCCATAAGATTCTTAAATTCGGTTAACGAGCAATCCCTCGATTAACAAGTTTCTTACGAGCCGACTTCAACATGTTTTCGCTTGCATTTGGCGGTCCACCAGCTGTAGTATTTGTCCGCCAATACAGTAATCGGTTTTAGGGCTTAAATTCCTTACTATTTTAGTAAATATCAAGAAGTTTATACTATTCAATAATTTTAAAAGTTTAATATTAACTTTTTAAGCCATTTTAACAATTATTGAACATAATTGAAGGTAAAGAAACTAGTTTCTGGCGTGCCATCCAGCCTGTTAACACACCAGACAGGCGTTAGTCTCTCTCTGTTTTCAGTGGAGGTAACATCTTGCTTGAGACTCTCTTCAACTAAATGCTTTTTTTCTGTGCTTCCATCAAATTATTGGTCATTTTGAAATTTATTTTACATATTGACAATATATAATGCAATGCACTGTTGATTTAAAGAAAATAATCTTGAATTACACCAAGAGAACTAAAATTTTATGGGTGAAATGGCACCATAGGGTGACTTCTCGTCCTCCCCAATGCCTTCTCTTCTCCCTTCTCCTCCACCCCCAATCTAATTCCCATCATCATCATCATCATCCAGGAGCATTCTACATACACACCTCAAAGTAAGTGTACTTTTCTACCTTTTTTGTTGAATTTAGGCAATTTTCGGTGAGCTGCAACCAATTACCCAAAAACCCATTGAAACAATGGTTTCGGTTAACGAGCAACCTGCTGGAACGGATTATGCTCGTTAACCGAGGGACCACTGTACTGTACTATACATGTGAATTGGAAGTTCCTGGGGTGGATGAGGTTATTTTTAAAGTGAAGAAAAAAAAATATTTTGTAGTTTAAAATAGTTAAGTTTAGATGCACAAAAAATGGTACCTGGTTTTAGTATTATTACAGTACAGTATTTAGAAGTACTGTACAGTACAGTACTGTACAGCAACATCTGTTCGATTTCGTTAATTGTTTCCACAGATATTCTTTGGATTATAGTAATTACAGTAATAAAAACGATACAACTTTTTATTTATGATCATAAATCACCTGTAGTGGGCAGGGTATGAAAGGTTGAGGTAGAAAACAGTGAAAAAATACTCATATTACACTAAAATTATGTCTCTGTGCTTCGTACACGAAGAAATTAATTATTTACCATTAATAATCCTCCGAAAAACCTGCAGTGTCGTTGTGTTGTCGTTTCTGTGCAACAACCAACCCACTCGGAGCGAACATACTGGCACGCCCACAAAAAAAAATTAAAATTAAAGCATTCCGCTTCAAGATGGTTGCTTTTATTGGTACTAGATATCAAAGTACGTACTTTCTGTTTAATATGGCAGGGGATACGGGGGACGGAGGATGTTTGGTAATGTTAGGTAGGATTCTTTGGATGGTTAGGTTAGGTTCTATTAGGTTCTGTCTATTGTCATATAATTTTTATTACTTACTATCATCCAAACAACATGTGGGAAAAAATTAATGAAATAGAACAACACATTCTGGTGTTAACCATCTGCTCCAGGATTACTCTTACTTGAATTTAGAATGCTTAAATCTTTTGTGAAAAAGATTTTGTTAAGTAAGTTTACAGTAAACAGATACTTTACTGTACAGTACTACTGTTCTTGCCTAATATTGACGACTACACCACCGACGTATTATTTGTTTCGATGTTTATATTCTTACTATATTTTCATCAGTGAGTTTTAATATGATAATTTTTTGGGGGTTTGGTTAAGTTAAGGTTAGGTTAAGTTGAACTTTTAAATAAACACGTTTTAACACATTTGCCATAACTATGATTGTCCACTCTAAAACACAGTGAAATTGCAGCATATTTTAATTAATTTTCTATGAAAAGTCAGCGGCGGTGTAGTAGTCAATAGTTTCCCTGTTCTTATCTCTTATAATGCATGGGGGACATGTGGGACTAGAGTATGTGGATTAGTGTGTGTGATTGCTTGTCCTTTACTCACATCATCCAAATCTTGATGTAAGTACGGTAGCTACGGTATTTGCTAGCACAGGATTGGTGTGTGAGGTCTCCAAAGAATTCTTTAAGGTAGTGCGTATACATTTTTTTGAGACTGTATAATGAATATGCGTGGTTTAAAGCAGTTACAGCTAATGTATGTGTTGAAAGAAGCTAGGGCTAGAGATTTGGGTATTATTTTAGTTTCAGTCATCCACATGTGACTAAACTTTTTACTCCACAGAAGATCAACAATTAGCAAAGGTTCTTATAACAATGTGATGAACCATATCTACACCATGGCCCAATGCTACATATAAATGAAACAAAACCCAAAGTAAGAGTTGTAGCTTTACAGAATACTCCAATGAAATCTCTCACGAGTTCCAAAGCCAAGACATTGGCATAAGCCAAACAAGACTGGCATATATTTACGAAATATTACGAGTACATTATCCAACAATAGGAAACACGAGACCCAGACTCAGGAGAAGAGCTAACGTATGAGTCACACTACTAAAGTAAAACTTTTACTTGAGCTTAACAGTGTACAAAGTCACTCTCACATGATGTAAATTTCCTCTATTATTAAAACATCAAACTCAACCCAAAAGTGTGGTTGCAAAATAATCCTACATATATTAAAGCTATGTGGGTGTGTCAGAGCACAGTGCTGTGTCATAATAACTGATAACAGAGGGTTATATGCAAAATAAGGCAGCCCAGCAGACGACGCTCGATACCCTCCCACATCCGCCCATCACAAAAGCTCCTCTGATCACACCAGTCAGCACAAAAAACTAGCTAATTTTGGTATCTCTGTAAACTCCATACTCTAAAGCGTACAGCAAAGTGTAAAATATTACAAAAAGTATTGGAAATACTTACTTTTTCCGACTAATTCCTTGAGAGCCATTTTGACAGCTGTGGTTGTTAGTTCTTCTGTCAGCCACTAGATGGTGTCCAATCGATACCTGAGGGCGCGAAGTTTGAATACGTAAGGAAGGTCACAAATCCTTTCTGCGCCTCTTGTGCCTTAACTTGCTGTCAGCCGCGCATGTCTCTTTTCAATCAGTGATTGAAAATTCTAGACAAAATCCTTATTCACTGACAAGCCCTTAATGAGATTATTTAGGGAAACAAAATACGTGTCGCACGAATAGGACTACCTTGCATAATTATATAGCTCTTTGCCTCTTCAAATTTAAAAACTTTGTGCGTATGTGTGTGTGTGTGTGTGTGTTCAAGAAAACCTATGCTTCTTTGATTTGACAGATATCAATAAAACAGTGAAAAATACTTTGGTGAAAAAATAGCATTCACGACCCCCAAGCTCCTGAACTTTTTATTTTCTTGAGAAAGCGGGGAGGGGAGGAATAAGGATTGAGCTCAGAAGTTTCCAGATGAAGGACTTATCTAATGAATTAAGTAATTTTAACTGACGTTTTCTAAGGCGAAGTTGGCACACCCACACATCTATCGACGAAAACGCGAGGTACATTTAAGTGTGCTAACCAATACAGCATATTCCCGTCATGTTAATATATCGAACGATTCGTTTCTGTATTATACCCTCCCTCCTCTCTGTTGAACCCCTAGAAAACGATTGACATTACTTTTCAAAAACACCTAATATAAATGGGTGACAATAATGAATTAATCTAAACAGGCGAACGGGTGAACACTGAATATTACTCGTAGTTAAAATAAATTAACGGGGGACATTAGATATACTGTATTAAACAAGTGTAGTACACGGGTGACATTACTTATATGTACAAGTATTACTTCAAACAGCTTATGAACGGGTGATAATACTTAATTACTTACATATTCACATATATAATTTCGGAAACTTTTATACATGTTTTATATTGCATCTGAAACTCGCTAAACTCTTAATTTAATGACCAACTAATTATTATTGCTATGCAGATATTTGGTCGTGATTAAGCGTTTAAAACCAATTTATGGATGTAAAATGGGACTGGCAAGGTCCTTCGGCATTTAAACTAACTTACATCAAACGTAACTGCTTCCTTACATGCATTTTAAATATTTTATTCGGTAGGAGGTAGTAGGCAGCTACCAAACAGGGAGGTACTACCGCCTGGGAAGAAATTGGAAGCATAAGGTGTTGTCTAATGGTAGACCCTGCTGCCATATGGCATCACGAAATATTGTGACCAAGTCCCAGGTTGCTGATCTGACTTTTTGCCTCATTCACACACAATTGCAGGGTCTCAATTGTTTCTCACTCTTGATCTTTAAAAAAAATATTTATTATTATTATTATTATTATTATTATTATTATAATTATTATTATTATTATATTTGTTTTCATCTGTATTCCATATTCAGCGTGTTGGTGATAAAGTAAAACTTTAATCAAGACATTAAAATAAAGAAAACAAAGGAGGCGTTATTGAAGGTATACAAATAATGGACTGGAGGGCGCCACATGAACAAACAAATTAGCTTTAATTTTTTCTTTGGGTTATATCAAAGTTCTCTTCGAGTCATATTTTCGGGGTTATAACAATGTTTCCCTACAGGTATAAAAAAAAAATCCATCGGTCGGCCATCCCGGGAAAAAATGACAGGGCAAGATTCACATGTCATACCCCAATCTTGAGAATGAGCTTGGTCTCCTCTATACACGGCCGACAGCGAGAGTAAGAAGGATCAAACAAATATTGATCAAGCTCTTCAGTGGCAGGATGGACACCCGCCAAAGCCAGCATCGTGCACGTCTGTCGTTCATACTGAATTCTCAAGACTGTGACACTGATTTATAAACAAAGCATTATTAACTAATTACACTATTATCCACCTCTACAAAATCAAAATAAATGGATTAAGATTAGTTAAAGTGAATATGAAAATGTTAAGAATGTAATTTTGATTAGTTTTGGGAGTTTAACTGTACTGTAGGTGGAAACAATTATGTTCTATATACTGTGACTCAGACGGGCGACGAGCGTGTTTTTGTCTTGATCGTGTCAGTGAAATCGTGTTCAGTTAGTACTGTACTCCTACATTCGCATAAAAGCTAATTATACTATCTTAGAATAATATGTTGGGTGTTATATTTCCTTCACAATGTATATTCCATGCATGAGTTGGTAAGCTTGGCAAACTGTGAAGGGATACAGAGTCACTTCCTCCCGAACACATTGGATCGTATACTAAGGCGGAGCTGCTGGAAGTGAGTCATCGCTCTACGCACTCTTCTGGAAACTCGTGTTCTGAGCCCATATCCTCAAGGGTTTGCAAGTTAATATTTTCTTGTAACTCAAGATACTTTATGATGATGCAAAAATTAATTTATTCGTGATTGATATCGTAGTTAAGTGAGAAAAAAATTACAATGCCCAGCATTAAGTCAATAACCTTATCTATGCTACCGATATTATCTATTAGCATGCCATGGTTTTAAATCTAGTTGTGCTAGATAGCAATGCTGGACTCACTTATTCTAGCAAGACCCGTCCTGCTACTGCTGTCACGAGGTAATATGATAATATATCAGAACACAAACAATGAAGAATCTCTACAAGGACTTGTCAGGTGGCTATGAATTTCACCATCGCACATGTTTAAAGCTGGTAAAGACCCTACTATGAAGAAGGGATTGAATAATATCCATAACTGTCACAGTGATCCTAGAGGCCTATACCTCATTCATTTGTTCTAACATTGTTCAACTGTTGCTAATGTACAGTCGGGGTCAAAAGTCTGGAACACTTAGCAATATCTGGCATCTTCTTCTGAGTTATATATATATATATATATATATATATATATATATATATATATATACTGTATATGATTGGGATAACTAATAACACTACTTGTCATCACATATGCCTGAACCACAAAATGGAATAAAACTCTCCTTAATACCTAAGATGTTCGGGTACTTACATGCCAAATACTGTTAAGTGTTCAAGACTTTTGACCCCGATAATACATATATGTACAGTAAATATTTTTCGGATAATTGACCAAATTTTTTTACCCTTTTTCCACGTCATGGATCAAGCTGTAATACTGTCTCGTAACTTAACAAAGCCAACCACTGAGAGCAATGCACAAAATTTCTCATAAATTACTGTCAGAATGAATTTGGCTGATATTGTCACCTAATAAAAACACGTATCAGTTACAGTAGGGAAATTAAGGTACAACGTAAATTGAACGTCAGGAAAAGGCTGAGACTGGCACCCAATGTTCTAGTACTACCTTACTCGAGGGCGTAGCGCTAGTGACTGCCGATGGACAAGCAAGTGGCGGCTCCCCTCTCCACTGGGATCGTGGTCTCAACTGATACCACATACGGCGCGGAGAGAACTTTCATTTTTTTCGGTTATACACGAATTCTGATAGTATAAAGTATTTTACTTTAATAAGATAAGATTAAAATTAACCTCCTCAGCTCAAATTAAATTATCACCGCTACAATTTTCAGTGTAAATAAGTAAGTATATTTCTTCACAAGTAGGTACTTGGTAGTACTGTACTTTCCCACCCACATCACGATCTGTTCGCGCCAATGCCGTTGCCCGGTGCTGATTGGGTGCGGATATTGTGTTTGTGACGTCATATCCTTCCTCCATTGATACTTTTGAAAGAAGTCTACCCACTTATCTTTATAAGAATAAATTAATCACAGTCAATATAATTTAAAGAAAACAAATAATATTACAACCGTATCTCTAAAAGTTAGGCTAAAATATTAGTGAATAATGGTCACAGCCTACATGGGCGACTTCATGAAATTCTGGAGTAGGTGGCTGGTCAGATCTCAACACTGGACGAAGTACATGTTCAAAGTTATACCATTCTATTTAAAATTAAATTGTTAAATGAAAATACGAAAACACAAGTTAAACGTGTGAGTCACCTTACAATGTTGAGTACAATAAGCAAAACTAGCATCCCGGCCGCTAAAAATTATTGATATTTTTTCTTTTGTCATTTCACCACCTACCAACTTACTAGTTGGTCTATCCAATGTTAGTACAGGAGGAAACTGGAGACCGGGAAAGACTGTGAATTTTGGTATGATCACACTGGATAGAACCCTTCTTATGTGTGTCCGGGCTCGAACCCTTGACGTATTAGTGAGAAGACATAAGCGCGTTACCACTGTACCACAACGGAGTAAATAATTTTTCAAACGCGTGAATTTCTTGGAAAATATTAAACAGCCAGTTATTGTGAAATGAACATGTACACTGCTAACAACGATTTCACAGTTCATGCTTGTTTAGTCTGTTTTATGTTAATTGTTCATGAATACGTGGTCTACTTTACAAGGTGCCGAAGTTCTGTATGTGTGTTTGGTCTACAGGACGACCAGTTTCATTGAGACAACCAGTTTCATCATCAGGACAATCGGTTTCACCCCCAGGACAACCAATTCCACCCAGATAACCAAGTTTAACATTATCTACAGCTTTACTTGTCCCACCACACTCGCTATCACACACCTTGATCTTACAACATCCACTCACCCACAGAAGATTCCCAACCATCCCATCCCATTAAAGCCACCTCAATTTTATATAAATTAAGTGTTTTCAGTTTTCTCCATTCCTGATCCAAACAAAACCTCAAGAACCTCAGAAGACGTGCTCTTGTCCTCTCCAAGTTTTCGTACTTAACTCAAACTGGAATCTTGTCAGTGTCTAATACTTACCCCCCCCCCCCCAAAAAAAAATAAATAAAAATGTGTCCCGTCCTCCTCCTTCAGTTATCGACCTTAGTTCCCATCTTGGTGATCTGTTGATGTCAGTGTTGTGACAGCACCTACTGTATATAGTATGGGCTCATTCAAGGCGCTGGTACAGATTATATAACATATACATTCTGGAGCCAGTGCATGCCCAGTACTTGCGTAACTGACGCGTACAGTTCGTGATCGACCTCCAAAGCGGAGAATTAAGTATAATAGTAATAACAATCTGACATAAACAATTACTCAGATTCCTGAAACACCTTAAAAAGTACACCACCTCTTCTCCCATGTCCAATATGGACTTCAGGTTTCCGTTCCAACTCGTCCACTTCTCGCTTTCCTATCTCATAATTTTAAGCATGCTAATGGTAATTCCGGCGAAACTCATCTTGTTATTTTTCATGCAGTGTAATTATTAAACTTCAGTTTTTGGTCTCCTCGATTCCTCCTTTTTTGGTCTTCCTACTTTCCGTCCAAGTGCCACAGCTGTGCGGTTATGGGTTCACATTCAAACTACCTTCGCATCAATGCTGGACGGCGTCAATGATAGGCTACAATGGGTTGGATGAGTAGTCTATTATCATTATATTATTACATTTGATGCACAACATTAAATGAAAACTCTGGCGACTATCTAAATACGCCATAAAACGGTACATGCTGCACGTTGTACGAGGAAATATTTAGCTTTTTTTTTTGCGGGAATTAGCCCACCTGGGCACAGGTCACTGACCCACATAGGGGCCTAGAGGGCGAAAATGTAATAATAATAATAATAATAATAATAATAATAATAATAATAATAATAATAATAATAATAATAAAGAACTATGAAGAAATACAAAAATTAAAAAAAAGGATCATGAGTGAGAAACAATATGGCAGCAGAGTCTATCATTAGACAACACATTATGCTTCCCATATCTTCCCAAGCAGCTTTACCTCCCTGTTTGGTAGCTGCTTCCTAGATTTACAGTAAACGGCAGAACACCCGAGAGAGCTGATAAGTAAACTGACGCCTAAATGATAACAATGTACACGAGCCTGGGCCCTGGCAGCGTAGGGCGATAATTCACTGGAAGACAATGATTGAAAAGTTTCTTGGCTCATACAAGTTACACAGTACATATTATGTTCCTGCCTCTAGTTTACTGTGTCTGTATTTCTTCGTCTTTCATGTTCTTTCCAACCTTAACCTGGCAACAAAATCTGTAAAATGTACATCAGTAGTAGTCGTATTTACCACCGGCCACACCCTCCTCCACCACTCAACCTTCGATAGTTTACTCTGCTTGTTATTTTAATCAATAATTCAAGCTAGACGCTCGCTTGTTGAAGACGAGAATGATTTTCCTTCTTGTTTACTGTACATCCCACATCGACAACAAATAATAATCAGAGAAGTTGAAAATGGAATAAATGGAAATACACTGAGAGATCTAAACTATATTTGTAGCCTTCCTTTTCGTTTACATTGTGCTGTTTGTTGTACTTAATAATGTGCTTAAAGTCGAGGGTTCTAACGTCAGCACACACTTTTCTCCGAACACAAAGGTGTACAGCGAATAAAAACACTTAAAAACTTTATTTATAACCACTGGTGACGTAGTAGGGATGGAGCGAGGGAAAAGCCCCTCTAAGTGATATTTGACGTCACAGTGGAGTGGTCTGGAACAGCCAATCATCGATTAGCGACAACACTGACGCTACCAGGCCCCACACGGCTCATCCTCCGACTCAACCACGTTATGAACAGTTGATATCATGAGTTACTTTGTCATCCCTTAAGTAATGCTAAGAGAACTCGTGAAACTATTGTGATGACACATAGCTTCTCTATTATTAAGGTGTGTGATATATTTCATATTACGGTAATTAAAATAATAATATTTCCACCAACAACCAGTGTCCCCCATTCACACTGCCACCCACCGTCAGTGACACCCACCCACACACTTCCACCCACCTTCAGTGACACCCACCCACACACTTCCACCCACCGTCAGTGACACCCACCCACACACTTCCACCCACCGTCAGTGACACCCACCCACACACTGCCACTCATAACTTGCGTCACCCACCCACACACTGCCACCCACCTTCAGTGACACCCACCCACACACTGCCACCCACCGTCAGTGACACCCACCCACACTGTCACCCACCATCAGTGACACCCACCACACTGCCACTCATAACTGCACACACCACCGTCAGTGACACCCACCCACACACTGCCACCCACCGTCAGTGACACCCACCCACACACTGCCACCCACCGTCAGTGACACCCACCCACACACTGCCACCCACCGTCAGTGACACCCACCCACACACTGCCACTCATAACTGCGCCACCCACCACAACTGCCACCCACCGCAGTGACACCCACCCACACACTGCCACTCATAACTTGCGTCACCCACCCACACACTTCCACCCACCTTCAGTGACACCCACTCACGCACTGCCACCCACCATCAGTGACACCCACTCAAATTGCCACCCACTCACGCATTGCCACCCACAATCAGTGGTACCCACTCACACACTTCCACCACCATTAGTGACACCCACCCACACACTGCCACCCACAATCAGCGGTACCCACTCACACACTGCCACCCACAATCAGTGGTTCCTACCCACACACTGCCACCCACAATCAGTGGTACCCACTCACACACACTGCCACCCACAAACGCTTACACGCTCAGTGCCTTAAAGAGAGCTCGGGCTCTCAACTGGCTCAGCCATGTTAATATTATGATTTTGATCGACTCTGTATCTGTGTTCTTCTGGCTCAATAAATTGTTTGTGTCAATATAAAAAACTCAAGGCCTATATGACTATAAACTAGTATTTTACCCTTGCTACCACTCACCTTCATTTTCTTCAGCCACTTCTAACATGATTCCAGCTCAGATAATAAACTGTTAACTACATCCTGTGACACTAAGTGGACTGGACTTACAAGAAGAGCTTACATTTAAAATTTATTGGCCTATAATTCTCATACTACATCAAAAGGACAATAAGTTCCAAGATGTTTTGTGAACTCCTTTTTTTCGACAAGGATGCTAACTCGATGTCACGAGGAAATTGTTGGTTAGATAAATGCCTCATGACAGCACTATAATAGAATGTATACTTGGTGTATGGCTATACTGTATATTTATTTTCCTTTATCATTTCACCCTTTAACAGCTCATTACCCGTGCTGACTTTTATTGTTCAGTGTTAGTACAGGAGGAAACCGAAATACTCGGCTGTGATACTTGGTGAGGTCACACAGGATAACACTTCCAACTCAAATGTTGCGGCCTCCGGGCCGGAGATTGAGCCAAGGAAGGATGCTAATACAAGAGAAGGATGGCCCACTCCTATGGACAAATGCATTCACCGCTCAAAGTTGCTCCACCAAGCGGCTGGGGAGTAAACTAAATAATTACCAGGCAGGGAATAAATGAGGCCCCGTTACTGTGCAGCTATTAGTTGCTGTAGCAACTCCTTAAGGAACAGAAACCTTTTTTCCTTTCGATTTCCGAAAGATAAAGAAAGGTGTGTTGTACACCCACTGTTGTCAATGTTGACTGCTCATTAGTTAAGTATTTATGAGCGCTTTCCTTATTTAATACATTTAGTTCTGATAACATTCCTCTCTTCAGAATTGGTAGTTAACATCAGAGTATCATGAAATATATAGATGAGTAGGATTCTGTTGCATTTTCTATATGGCGTAGGTGTTAAATTACAGCAATTAGGTACAATAAGCACTGTCAGTATTTTGTGTATTTCATTTGTGCAGCTAATATTTTGTCTAATATATGATAAACAATGTACCTTGCTTTTCTAATAACAGACAGTATTGTACATACCGGTACAAAAATATGTAAATTGTACAGTATGTCAAGATAGTAACAATTTAATTAGTCTAACATTAACAGTGATTGGATTTAAGTGTGGCATTTGTATATTTGTATTAGCGAATATTTACAGAGCGAACGTTCATGTAACAAGAGACTTATATTACTACAGTATTACATTATTATTATTCGAACTTTGAATAATGCAGCTTGATCTTCAAATCTTTTCACTGTAGGAGATTAAGCTTCAAACCTACAGTCTTAAATGACTTGAAAAAAAATCATATACAGGTAATATTTTTATTAGGTTTGGTTAGGTTAGATTAGGTATTTTCGGTTTTATGTACCGTGTCTAAAAAACTAAAAAATATGTTTTTCAATGTAGATTTTCCTGCTAATCACAAAAATATAAATATTGTTTTGGAGGAATGATTTTTGAAAAAGATAATTATTCTTCATCAGATTAGGTTAGGTTAAGTCATATTTTTGGAATGAGCATGAAAATCTACACTCAAAAACATCATTTTATACTTTTTGGGGACAGTGTATTACATGCTTCACCGCGGCCGGTGAAGCATGTAATACATTATCAGAACAATATATTTGAAAATGTTACTTATCAGAATGAATCACAAATATAAACACCTGAATTCTTTTACTTGTACGATTTAATACTAACTTCACTTTATCTACAGTTACGAAACAGAGAAATACCTTATGTTAGAGTCCCTGAACCTCCCCGACGACTCTCATCTTCTTCATAAACTCATCCACGTAGAACACCGTGTTTTTGTTGCCAGCTGTCAAACAAAAATATTAGGAATGGGTAAGTTTTGGTACTCTCTCAGGGGAGTGTAATGGTTGTTATGAGTGTCAGGGTGTGACCGTTACGGATATAGGATGGACAAAGATAGACGATGGATTTTATATGAATAATATTAGAGATAAAGTCCAGAAAGCAGGAGAAATGTTCGCCCTAAACACTGGGCGGCAGGTTGTAGCATCGTGTTTGTGGACGTGGAGCTCAACCCAACCTTTAATACCTCGCTATTTAAGACAGTTTGAGGCTTGAAAAATTATCAAGATAAACCTTTTTTCATTTTCCTATATGATAAACATAGTCTGCTATTAAACCTCGCAGCTCATCATTATTTCCAGTATTTTAGTCCCATGTGAATCATTTTGTCCAGAATATGTAACTTAAATTTGAGTTATATCTCTTGGTAGAACACGTTAATTGGAAAATTAGTAAAAATTTGCAAGAGATACGTGCCATGATAATGTATATTGTAGTATTATAGAATAACAGGCAGAAATCACAAAGAAAACCCCACTGTACTAAAGTGGCAACCCTCTGGTAGACTACAATTCATTCTTGGACAAGTTTTATGGGTGGATCCTTAACCCTCTGGCACTCCTGGCTATGATCGGAAATCTCACCCCCTCGCAGTCTTTCGACGTAGGTTGCATTGATAACAGGAAAAAAATTTCCATTTTAATAATGTACATGTAGTAGATATTTTGCCGTGACCAGCTAAGTTCCTAATAATAATATTTTACCATGAGTGCGCTGATTGGCTAAGTACTTTCTGTTTAATATGATAGAGGTTCTGCCCCCCCCCCCCCGATAGGAAGTTAGGTAAGGTTAGGTAGATTTCTTTGATTGGTTAGGTCAGGTTTTATTAGGTTCTGTGGAAAAATATAATAAAATCGTATAACTCTCTCTGGTTAGTTATGTTTATAGCTTCACAACGATCGACTCGGGGCGAAATAAATGCCCAATGCTGCCAGTCACGTTCACATATTGTTCTCGTGTTGTTAGCTAGTAATGGATGATTAGCCAATTAGAGCACACTCACGGTAAAATAGTGTTAGTAAGAACTTAGCCCGACGTCAAAATATCCACTGTCTTTTAATAAACATTGGGTAGAGCGATCCAAACCCAAAGTGTATCTTTGGAGGAGGCATCTGCTAGCCTATGAGGGTAGTGAGACGAACTTACGTGGTCGATAGGGCCGGTTTACTGGTTCCGTGTTTCTGGGTATAGGAGGGGTGCTCTCATTGTGAGATAAGACTGAGAGGTAGGGATTGTGCCTGCACGGGAGTGCTTAGTGGCGCGATTTGTGTTGAAAGACCATGACGGTTAATTATTGGCTTAGAACCAGGATATTATTACCAGAGGTGTATACAGAATACTGTACAGTTATAGTTTATAAATCTAGAATGTTTTGACAAGCACAACACAGTACAGTGAATTTTGTACTTATCACCTGCACACCCTCAGAATATACTAGAAATTCATTAATGATGTTATAAACAATATTAAAGATTCGTTTTATGCCTAATGGATTTTTTTTACTAAAATATTTTTTCTTGTGTTTTGTGAAGATTTAAAAAAAAATTACTGTTATTTTTGGGGCTAATGCTTATTTATGGAGATTTAAGCATGTGCAAAAGTATCCTATATTGGTACGGTGTTCATAGTCATTCATGTTATGGCTCCAACCTAACCTAAGCACCGAAATCACGCAAAAACAAGAAGAGAATCACTTATTCCTTCACCATCAGTTAAATAAGGTATTTTTTTATGGCAGTGGATGTTTTGCTGTGACCGGCTAAGTTCCTACTAATGCTAATGTTATTTGACCGTGATTGGCGACATTTGGCATTTATTTGCCATGAGTCGATCGTTGTATAGCTATAAACATACCTAACCATTTTTTGGTTGTGCATAGAAACTTCTGAGAAAAACAGAGGTAAAGATTCTTTTTAGGTCGAACATGGAATTTCATAATTCAAATTACATAGGGAGAAAGCAAAAAACTATTTTCTATTACGTTTCTGATGCAAATTTTTTTTTCGATTATGTTAACCAATAAGATCTCCCCAATTACCAACAATATTAGTTGTTCAAAGTGGGCGGTAAAGGTAAAATGTGGGTTGAAATACAAAAAAAATATCACCAAACAAACCTTTGAAAACCTTACCTACAGTAACCTGTAAAAAGGTTAAAAATATGGTAATACCTGAGAATAGCACTACCACCAGAAGGAGTTATTCGATTTTGTTAATTTTTCCACATGTTCTTATCATTATAAAAGAGGTGACATTTACTATAACCTGACCTAATCAACCAAGAAAACCTACCTAACCTTACCTAATTTCCTAGCCGGGGGGGCGGACTCCCTGTCATATTAAACAGAAAGTACAGTACTTAGCCAATTAGAGTGCACTCACAGTAAAATAGAGTTAGTCGGAACTTAGCTGGTCATGGCCAAGTATCCACTACGGTTTTTTATAGGATTAGAACTTTCCTAGGTAAGGTCGGGTTTCCAGAGGTTTATTTGAATTTATTTTTAACCCTACATTTTCCCTCGTTTTCAAAGCCCTGCCCACTTTTGAAGGATTCATTGTTGTTGCTAGTATTAAAGGGATTATATCTTCATAAAGGTTATATTCATTCAAATCAAAACAAAATACATACAAAAAAACTACTATAGTAATGAATAATCCAGTTGGGCATAAAATGAATCTTTACCAATCCAGTAAACACATCATGAAGGGTAATACTTTGGAACACTGACTTTTGTTAACCAGCAACTTAAAGAAAAATTTCTGTAAAAATTCTTTTTTACCCCAATTTCCCCAATTAGTATGAGATAATATTTTTCTATTTCTTTTTTTAATGATTTTGACGAACAACTGTATAACCTCCATCTAAAGCATAAGAAATACAATATTGTATTTTAGTTTTGCTACCCACTTTAATTTTGTTTCACTTTCACCTGTAATAACCCTTTTAGGACCAAATACTTAAAGAGAAATTGTCAGAATAAATCAAGTTACAATAGAGACAGAATAGCCTGAGCAGTGATGAGAGCAAGTACAAGAATCAAAGTGGCAAGTTTTTTCAGCGAGTGCTTTTGTAGGTGGTGCCATTTATATTAATAAAATTTATTACATTGTTATTTTTATAATTATTATTATTATTTTTTTTTTAATAAACTATTACCATCAATGTTACTGTTATCTATTAAAATGTGATTAAATTATTTATTAAAAACTATTTAGAAATGGTGCACTGTAATGTACTGGTATTCCTGCACTCTTCAAATTCACAACACAACACAGTGCTACATTGCTGGAATTCACCAACAACACTGAGAAATTGTAAGAAAAGAAGTTGGTTCAGAACATTAACTAAACAGCACTGCAAAAATTGGAAATTGTGGTAAGGGTGGGAGACCTGTAAAGGTATTGTTCAACTTTAAAACCATTTATAACAAACTCGTTTATTATTTTTATTATTATTATTATTACTGTATTATTGTTATTATTACTGTATTATTATTATTATTATTATTATTATTATTATTATTATTATTATTATTATTATTATGGAGAACTGTACTCGGTGTTTACTGTCCTGCCATTTTAACCTGTTGTTTGCCCTCCATGCCTTGTTGTTATCCCTCTTTAAACGATTATTTTCTTTAACATTTGTTTTTTTAGGAATGCAACCCCATCATTAAATAGGGTATAGCTGGATTGAATAAACATTTGTGTGTGTGTTTATGTAAAATTTGTTATATATGTCTTTTTAATTTTATTTATCAGTTTATGTACTAAAGGGCTTTGTATCCTTAGGGGCTCTCCTCAGCTACTTTCGGGGCCTAATTGGTTCTCGAGAGATGCGTATATTGATCCTTGGACTGGACGGTGCAGGCAAAACAACAATCCTATATCGGTTACAAGTTGGCGAAGTTGTGACTACTATTCCAACTATAGGTTTCAACGTAGAACAAGTTACATACAAAAATCTCAGGTTCCAAGTGTGGGACTTAGGAGGTCAGACTAGTATCAGGTGAGGATATTGAAAATTTGATCCAAATACAGTACAGTACTGTATTAATACAGTATCTCTTAGTATTGCTGAATCTTTTACTTGGATATGAACGAAGTTAGTTACCAAATCTCCTTGTGTTCTTTGTTCAGCCACATTTTATTATCATATACCAGTACTTTACCTCATATAAACAACTGCCATAATTTTATAGTACAGGTACTTACAGCTGATCTGTTTTTCTTTTACCTTATTAAAATGTGACTTATCCGGTATCCTTGAAACTGCCTTAGAAACTTAAGAAATATCTCAACTTTTATATCCCTCCCACATGGTACAATAGTATGAATTAATGATGCTAGTTTAGTTCACTACTTAACTCTATAAGCAGTCAAAGTCAAGCAGTGGCCTTGGGCGGTGGTCAGTTCAGTGTGTATGTACTGTGCTATGTTGTTTTTTTATAGTTCCCAGGTGTGTCTTCATCACATTTCTTTTAATACAGTATTGTAAACTACTTTATTGTAGTTTCTTCTGATAGTACTGTACACGAAATTATAGTACAGTACAGTAAGTCCTCGTATAACTTCGGCCCGCTTAATGTTGTTTCGGTACTATGTCGCTTTAGATAGTCCAAAATTCGTTTAACGTCCCGATGACCCAGTACAACATCGTTTTGCATCGTCATGGACTACTCTTTATAGTGCATCACTCTTTCTCGTGTGGCTGCGCTACGCTCTCTCGGCAGCCGCAGAGTCTCAGTGACTTGCCACCCTCCTTCTCTCCCACCCTCCTCCTCCGCTCCTGCCATACTCCTCCCCTCCAGCCATCCACCTCCTCTGCTTCACTACCCACCACACACTCGCTCTACCACCTCCGCCCATCAGTGAGTACCAATACAAACTTAGTACTGTAGTCGTATATGTATGAACTATTTTCTGTAGAAAGGGCAATGATTTTCTGTATATGTAATGTATTTCATGGGGCAAAGGGATGCTGAGGGACGTAACTCCCGTATTTATTTATTTCTTATGGGGAAAATTGATCCGCTTAACGTTGTTTCGTAAACGTCGCGTTTTTAGGAACGTAACCCCAGCGTTAAGCGAGGACTTACTGTACATAAATTATGAAAACAAAATCCCTGAAGAGAAAAAAGGAAGTAAACCCAACAAGGGTTAGGCAACACCTATCCAGACAATGCTTTGGGGATTGGCTCAGCATTTCTGCCATTCATTTGATGTTCACTCCTCAAGTAAGACTTTGTGAGTGAATTTTTTAATGAATTATAAATTATTCTGAAAAAATTTAAAATGATTTCAGCAAATCATCATGTGTGGTAACATCTATTCCCAGAACACTAGATAGGAGACACCTGTTGCCAACATGGTGATTCTATCGACAGATAACACATCTGGAAACCTATCACTTCTCTGATGACAGTTTAATGCTTTTAGCAACATGGTAAGGTTATTTCTTTAGAGATATTTATCAGGCTTTTGACAATAGTCTTGCAATTTTTGGGTTTTGTAGTTTTCACTGGAGGCACCAGTTGCAAAGTAGTTATCATGTTTGAAATGAAACTATAGATTGCCCTCATTTATACTGTAGGTTGTGGTTCTGGAAAAACCCAGTAAAGTAAGAGGTATAAGCAAAACCAGTACAATATAAGCAAAGGCAGATTTCCATAGTAAAAGGGGAGTTAAATTCCCATCCCCAACCAAAGTCCCCCTTTTGAATGTTTTCCAAGTTAACTCTTTATTTGTAGCCTAGGTTGTAATTTAAGTACTGTACAGTAGTGTACTGTAATCAAACCATGTATTGTTTATTTACTAACTGCATTACTGTACTAGAAACTGTAAAGGCAACACAAAACAGTACTGTATATACTTAAAAGAGGCTATAATTGACAGTTCCAGTGGCACTAAATGCCATTGCATTTTGGGCAGCAAAATTACAACTAGTGAACACAGAATTAATTTTTTTTTAAATAATTACTGTACTGTCATCTGCTTTTGTGTTGAGCGTAGTATTGTACTAGTAAATGGGACAATTTATATGAACATAATTTTAGCTCGGTAATTTTTGTCTAACCCATAACACGTACTGTGTGTGACTTTTGAAGGAAATTATCTTTATTGTTTTATCTTTTGACAAGTCTATCCTACATTCTGTAATTTACCAAAAAAATAAATAAATCATGAACCTCCTGTAACACTTGTGTAATACTCTCTATATATATATATATATATATATATATATATATATATATATATATATATATATATATATATATATATATATATAAAACGGGAAAAGGAAACAGCGGAGCACCTTAGCTTTCGTCTTTATTCAGACATCTTCAGAGGCCTCTGAAGATGTCGAATAAAAAGCTAAGGTTCCGTTATTTCCTTGTTATCAAGATTTATCTTATCCACGTTTTCATTGTGGATCTACATGAAATACAGATATATATATATTATATATATATACAGTGGGGTATGCTATAACGAATCTAATTGGTTCTAGAACCTTGTTTGTTATAGCATTCGTTCGTTATAGGATTAATCTGTTCCAGGCCCCCAAATACAACCACTTAACACTGAAAAATATAATATAAAATTGTAAAAATTGTAAAAAAGTGCATAAATATGCATCTAAACCCCTGAAATAACCAATATCATTAATACTTGTAATAAAAAAACAATAAATTAGAAAAAAAAAAAAAATTAAATAATGTTCGTTGTAGGAGTTTCGTTCGTTATAGCATTCTCAATTTTATAGGTAAAACCGTTCGTTATAGGAATATTCGTAGTAGGATCCGTTCGTTATAGCATACCCCACTGTGTATATATATATATATATATATATATATATATATATATATATATATATATATATATATATATATATATATATATATATATATATATATATATATATATATGCTGATAACCACAAGGAAAGAAGAAAAACACGAAGTTCCCAAGCGCTTTCGTGTAATTCACATCTTGTTATTTATTCTGGCTTATGCCAAGCGATTTTATTCAGCTTAGGGAGTCCCCCGCCCACTAAGGGGTTAATGATGTTAGTCAGTGATAATTTTCATTATCCTTTATACCAGTCCTGCTGCTTTACATTAAACAATATTATATTCTTTTTAGGCCTACTAATACAATATGTATTATATTTTTTCCTAGTACAGGGTACAGTATTTTTTGTAGTACAGATAGCTTTCCATGGAAATTAAATTATTTATACATAACTGTATTGCTTTTTTACCTGTAATAACAGGCATCATTCATGGTAAAGCAAATGGCATCTTGAAAATAGAAATTAAGGTTTACCAGTAATTTGCTTTGCTGGGGTATATGTATTGGAAATACAATTTTGGTACTCCTTGATATAACAATACTGTACAATATTTTAAAGTTTATTATGTATTAAGTTTACCATTAGCTATACAGGGTATAACATAAAAGAAATCAAATATTCAGTACTGTACAAGTCATTAACATTTCCCTGAAAAGTTCTACTGTGTAATGCATGCTTATAAAGGTTTGGCTGATGTGTTATGGCGCAAATGGCTGAAATCCATCACTCACTTGGAATAATTTTTATTAAAGGCTGATAATTTGTTGATTATTTTAAAAACAAATTATGTGGACCTACACTTGTGTAAGTTCAGTACAGTACTGTATATTGAAATATATTAAAAAAAATCATTGACCCCCACACTTTCAGTTGTTAGGCTTCACACACCTGTTTCACCCCATTCAGTTGTTAAGCTTCACACACTTGTTTCACCCCATTCAGTTGTAAGGCTTCACACACCTGTTTAACCCCATTCAGTTGTTAGGCTTCACACACTTGTTTCACCCCATTCAGTTGTAAGGCTTTTCATACCTGTTCCATCTTAACATGTTAACCTTGTTACACTTGTTCACCCCATTAAACTGGAAATGACTTAAGTTTGAATATTAGATGGTTTTCTCCAAATGTATTTATTTTATTTCCAATGCTGCAACGAACTGTACCCCAAAGTTGGATACTTAAATTTTATTGTTTCAGACCGTATTGGAGATGCTACTATTCCAACACAGATGCCATCATATATGTGGTGGACTCAGCTGACAGAGACAGAATAGGCATTTCTAAACAAGAACTTGTTTCCATGTTAGAGGTAAGTCCAAAGGAGTATATGTCATATATTTTTATGATCTGCAGACTTCAGCGGATAGCTCCTGATGAAATGCTTGTATGACAGAGACACCATATCGAGTTTCTTGAGCACAGTGGCAGTTATTTAGTTGTAACTATGTTTCTGACTATACCTGCATTAATCAGCGGCCAAAGGAAAAGAGATTCCAATTGAATTGATGTGGAAGTTGCCATTCAGGACCAGAAAGACTGAGGGCTAGGAATTGTTCCCCTGGCTTGACCATTTTCAGTCACACTCAGTTGTAGAAAATGGTTCCTTTGAAATAGTCCTTCACATTTTCCCAGTCCTAATCTGCCACTTACACAGAATGGTCTTGCTTAAAAGAGTGCTGATGTTGAATTGCTTGTTACTCCTGTTTCTGCTTACAGATAGAGGTGATGATATGATGTTATGTTTTACTGAAGCTGTATTAATGCTCAATATTAAGTGTACACTTGCAGTCATTTGTACTGATTGAAGATGAGGTGTAATAAACAGTCCTTGAATTTTTAATTCATATAATGAGATGTTTGCCGAGTTAAAGTTTACTACAAGTTCCATTAGGTTCTTAGCTCAAGACTGATAATTTATCCACTCTGTTAGATTAAAATGCATCGTGCACAGACTGTACTTTAGGTTTGCTGATGGGAGAGATCCCTTTAAGTTTCTGTAATTTTCTGTGATGTGTCTCAAGATTTGGTATCTGAGTTGGTCCATTATCAAAACGGGGATACCTGGATCGGCATGCAAAATTTACCCCAAAAGGAAGGGTCTTGTGTGCTTCCTCTTTTGATATACAGCATGTCCTTCAAATTTGCGGGGAATAAGTTCTCAAAATGGCCTCGAATCGTCAAATCCGCGAATGACATTTGCTGACCGGGGGGGGGAGGGACATTTTTCTTTTGTACAAAGAAATGTATATAACCTTTATGTGTCTACCCTCAAGTCTACTCTGTACTTTATTAATAACAAAGCACAGAGTGGAGTTGAGGGTGGACTCAACATTTTTAATACATTTTTTCTGCTCATTTGTGAGAGGATTTGCCCATTATTATTTATTTGTTTGTGTTTTGTATGTGTGTGTCCACACACACACACACACACACACACACACACACACACACACACACACACACACACACATACATACATACATACATATATACAATACGGGTAAAGGAAATTACTGTCTCTAGAACGAATGGCTCCCTGTCCTGGCCACGACAGTAGAATCCTGGTTTTATGCTTGTTTGTTATCCATAAATTAATTGTGCAATACTCACCAAAAGCATGTAGAACCGTTATTCTGATGTGCTTGGAAGCTACTGATTTTATACAATTCATCAGAGTAGAATCCATCTATGAGTTGGTTTAACCGTTTCCTTAAAAGAAGCTCTTTGACAGTAAGATTCTACATCAAGACAGGAAAACTTCATTGTTTGAAGTAATAGTGAAGATACAGGTGTATATGCCTGTACTGTACAAATTTTAACATGTAGAAGTTTCTAGAAGGAGAGAGATGTGCAAAACATGTATCTGCATACTGTATTTATCTTCTACTGTGGGTACCTCATCACCCCAGTCACCACCACACCTTACTACCATCATGATCACACCACATATTATAAGCCACAATCACTACCAAACGAACATCACATTCCACCATCACCTCATTATACTACTGTACCATCTTGATCACATCTCATCATTTCACAGTCACTATTAAACTAGTTTTCCCACATAACAGCCATCATAGCTAGTGGTGACCATGTTAGGAACAGAAACTAATGACCTTTGTAAGATCCCTCCCATCAATCATCTTGTCCAGGGCTATTTTAGAGCTCAGCTTTCATTACCATGTGGAGCATCATTTTCCCACCTTTTCATTTACACTAATATTCCTCATTCTGTTTACATCAACGTTATATCTTTTTGTTCTCCACTAGAATTAATTCCTGGTTCTTGTTCTTGAGTATTATTTTGAAAATATTTTATTTATTTCTTGTAACTTTCAGGAAGATGAACTGAAATCTGCTATATTAGCAGTTCTGGCTAATAAACAAGATATGGAAGGTGCAATGACAGTTGCTGAGGTTCACTCGGCCTTGGGTTTGGATGCCCTCAAGACACGGACTTTCCAGATATTCAAGACTTCAGCTATAAAAGGTGAAGGCTTAGACCAAGCGATGGACTGGTTAGCTAATGCTCTTGCTACCAGAAAATGAGACACATTTGCAGCATAGACAGAATGATGGATGGTGTAATGTGTGTGTGAGGTTGTCATCTGCCTTCGCTCATCAGATGCTCTCTACCCCTAACCTGGAAGATGTGCTTTGGACAATTATTCTTATGTCTCAAGTTTTAAAAGATGTAGTAAATTATATGTGAATTCAGTTCTTGGTTACAAGGGAGATGTGCAGTCTGACAAGCGAGGGTAACTACTTGTGGTTTAAATTTTTATTGTGTGTAAATGGAGCTGTGCAAATTTGATGCAATGTGTATGTGATTTTATATCTCAACATTTTGTTATTTCTTTTTTACCAAGGGGGATATTAGATAACAAGATAAAACTTAGGATGTTTAGACTATTCCAAGTGTTAATTTGGCAGTCATGTGGATTAGAGTTGAATTTTAAAATTATTGTGGATGAATAATTGAAGGTTGCCATCTGCAGACATCTTATATGTCCCTCAACATTCATAATATTGGTCTACACAAGGTTGTTTTTATTTAAGAGTTTTGCCTTGAATTTGATGTTTTTGTGTAGATTTGTCATGTGAAAATTTTTCACTTACCGTATATATCGGCCTGCAAGGCGACGTGGTGTATAAGATGACCCCAAAAATTTCCATTTAAAAAGTAGGTATTGAGCTCTATTCGCTGTATAAGACCGGTACCCCAAATGTGACACTTACCATTGGGAGCTTACTGACCCAGTAGTCCTTTACCAACCATCCCATTGACCAGTGCTGTTTACACATCCTTGGTTTTTTAAAATAAGGCCAATTCACTTCAAGTAATGTCATCAAATGTTACCGGCTGGTGTAGTGTAAACACTAGTGACGTCACTTAAGCGCCTGTTATTTAACTGGAACTAATGTCGGTGTTGAGTAAAATTTTTCCTTGTACTTGAAATAGATTTACCGATTTATTTGTTTATTTATTTATTTATAATATACTGTAATATATTAAACACACTGCAAGTATTTTCTTTAATTTATAAGCTTGCTTTGCGACAAAGGGAGGCTACCATTATACCTGTTAGGTGAAGTTGACCTGATACATTTATGGTGATCATTAAGGATCAAACTCCGAATCAGATGACCTGACTTCGTCTTCATCATTCTCATCCTAAATTTACTACTGTCGGTAGTTTCAAGAATTAACGCAGTCATTTACTGAATATTCTTTGTAAAAAAATAAATTTTAAATGAATTATTTATAGGAGATAAGTATTATGATCAGTAAATATACCGATATGCATTACTGACCACCTTGGACACAGAGACGGCTAAAAATAGCCCTACCTCACCCCTCTTACTGCTGGTCACTTTCCCTTTCTTGTCTTGTCACTGGCAAATGGCGGGGGTGCGCGATGATAGCTGTGTTCATCACCGGGGCATATTGTCCTTTCATGGTATGCTAGACAGGTCCATAATACATCTTTATCATTTTAATATACCGGCAATCCCATTTTCAATCCAGCTTCCCAAATGCAAGTTTCAGTATAAAATAATTAGTGGTAGGACCCTGTGAGTGGTTCACAATGTTTTCCATCACCGCTCTTGACACGCTAAACCACAATATCTAAGAGGTAAGAACTTTATACCTGGTACTCAAGACGACCCCCAATCTTGGGCTGACCCCCTTAAGGTTCAAATTCCGTCTTATAGGCCGAGATATATGGTAGTCTTTCACATGATATTAAGAGCTACTTATGTATTATTTGGGGTAGGCAGCCATGATGGACACTCATATACATACAAGTAGGATAACTACTGGGGAAGATAATTTAGTCATAAAAGCCAATACCATAAGGCAGCACAGAATGTACTGGTTGAAAATAGTCTATAAGTTAAACCATTTTACATATAATTTTGGGTGTCATTTGAGTCTTACAATGATCAATCCTATTTTAGAAAACAACTCATGATATTAGTTAGAATGATGGTCTCTACTAATCTTTGGAAAGTGACACATCTATTGTAAGACAATAAATCGATTGGAAAACTCATCTTTGGTATTGATGGTTATATTTGTTTGGGGTGAAGGCACAGTAATGGTCCCATTTTGTTAATTAATATTATTCCCTAAAAAAATAGGAAAGTGCAAACAGCAAACTTGTTCTGAAAAGGTATTCATTAAAAACCTAATGAAGTAAATCATACGTCATTAGTTCATGGGTCTTAGAAACTGGTGGTTGAAAAGCATGTGAAAAACAGGTCTTCTATGATGGGGAGGTAAGGAGGCAGTGAGGGACTGACTGGTCATTGAAGAAGCAAATAGTTGTAGACTGAATCTTTTCATAATAATAAACAAGACTGAACTGCTAATATTGTCCAGACCTGATTAACTTTTGGAATTAATGGGTTGAAAGATCACTGATGATAAGAATTCTTGCACAACTGCTTGTCCTCAAGGTTTCTCAAGATGGGATGAATGGATATTAACTGTACGTTAACAAGTGCTACACACAAAGTTTTAAACTTGACCAACTTGAGGAAATAATGAGTTGAGGCCATAACAGGTGATCACTGAAGCTATACTGAATCAAGAACTGCATATTAAATTTTCATGATAATTTTAAAAGTTTTGCTAGAAATTAAAATAAAGTCCATAACTGAAACATGTCTTACAACATTAACTTATTATTGATAATTGGATATATTGTACTGTATTACTTTGTTGATAAGGAAGATTCATGCACGGACCACTTTATATCACACTGTCAGTTAGGGTTTGATGCACAGTTCCGTGAAACTAAGGTGTGCATTGCTGTGCTTTGATAAGGTTTACTTGTAGGTAATGTAAAACTGTGGGTAATGGTAAGATATGATTATGTAAGGAAGTGCAATGTGATCTGTAAATGTAAAAAATTGTAAGCAAGTTAATCTCTTGTGTTGTCAGATATTTTATTTTCTTGTATATATTAAGCAGCTTGACTTTCAAGAACAATTATGTAAACTAAGACTATAATTTAAAATGTGGGCAACAAAAAGGAAATGTAAAAAATTTAACTACTACTTTAAGTACAATGTGAAAGTAATCCCCATGCTTAAAATCCTATTTTACCTGATGATTCACACAGATGTCAAATCTTTGTATTTAAGATGAGCATTTGTAATATCTTGCACTGTAGATTTTCCGTACTGTATATTGTTTTCATAAATATTATTTCACCAAATTGAAGCAAAATAAAGAGAATATATTTAATTTTTTGAAAAATTTCTACCTTTAATTATATTGTACTGGTAAGTGTGGCTTCATATATTTAATTGTGATATTAATGAAGACTGCACAAAAATGACTTTAATAAAGGACGAGATACAAAGTAGATGGGTTGTAGCCTCACCAGATGGACAATCTCAGTAGGAGGAGTACAGTAGTTATTAGTTGGGAGTTACATTAACCTTATTGTAACAACCTTATATTTTTGTACTGTACTGTAGTCTTATCTGTGTGTTTCTGAAATTACAGTACAGGGGTATCTGCAAAACTATTCTTTTTTATAGGTAGTATCTTTATGCCCATTTTTTATAGCATACAGCTATAGTTACATCTTTGGTTACTCACAGTCCACAAGGATTGATAATCCAGTATTTAGACCTTTGATATGTGTTACTGGTATTAAATAGACATGTCTATTAGTCAACTGATTCAAACAATATTTGATTGAATAAATCCTTCCGTACTGCAAGCGTGAAGCCCCAAAGAGCTTATTGTTCTTTGCCTTATTAATATTCCTCTTGTAACATGTCTCCTGAATTGATATACAGTAGTTTTTATTAATTTATCTTTGGTATTACACGAGGGACTGACTGCATCTGCGATGATCTTAAGTTGGTAGGTTAAAGATTGCAGTGTTGGGTTGTAAGCTAACTCTATTTACCCTTGGTATCCCATGAATTGCATTGATCCTACTGATTGTAGAACTTGTGAATTTTTAGATTGTATTTTGTATGTTGACACCATCTGTGCCAATCTGTTTTTTTTTTTTTAGGATAAAGAATCTCTCTTCAGAGACATGTGTTTGATTGTGGCAGTTGTGATATGATCTGCAAGTCAGTTCTGGTTGTAGCTCTTCCTGCTTCTACTGAGTTCCTGCCAGAGGAAGTGGAGGATTTTATTGCAGCAGGTCAGGGGTTGCATGACACTGTTGACCAAGTGGAAGCTGGTGTCTAAGAATCCAGGTTAGTATTGAACCCTGGGACTGGGTCAGTACCAAGTGCAGTTTCAAATGGGAGATCCTCTCTTGGGGTCGCATGGCCCCAGCTGGAGTGGAGTTTTTGACAACCGTTTCAGCTGAAAATGTACTTAACCCCTTCACTATGGGGATGCCACTTTTAATATTTTATTTGGGTAATCCAAACAATTTAATTCAGCATGGGGGATACAGTACACAAGTGGTTAAAGTGGAGGCATTTGCTCATTAACCAATTAAGTTGTCTAGTTAAATAGTAAAACATGGGTAAACATAACTTCCTTGAAATTTCCTAAAATTAATTAACTTCAATTAATTTTCCTTTAAAAAAGTGGTGCATGGGTGGACATGTAAGGTTTGTGGGCATAGGCATACAGACTGGGGAGGGGGAATAAGGACAAAGTCATGCAGGCAAATTATTTACAAAGATTCAAGAAAAAAAGTACAATAAGTTGATTTTCACTGTTTCCAATCTTAAATTTATCCAAGGTCAGGTTTGTTTGACTCCTCAATTTACCAAGTTTGTTAGCAGGTTTTACCAATTTTTTTTTAGATACTGTGCCTACCCTGTTGCTAAATATTTAGTGGATTGTGAAGTGTGAACACCTACCTCCATGGAAATTAAAATTCAGTTACACAAAAGAATCGGTTAAATAAAACTTTTAGAAAATAAAGAAACCTCAAAGAGAACAATCAGTAAGTGAAGTTTTTAAGTCATCACATGTATTCAATGTATGAAAATATTCTACAGTATAATGAAAATGATAGAACCTTTGGAATGAGAGATGTGAAAATTGGTTTTGTGTAGCATGGTTGAGATGACACCTGCAGTATGTAATGGTTTGGTAACAACAGTAATTACTATAAGAAGCAAATTATCACAGCTGTGAAGGTAATGAAGAAAGACAAGCAGTCTACTTGAATTCTGTTATGAGATTGAAGGATTTTGAACTTGAGGTAGAAAGGAAAAGCAGAATACAGCAATCTCTCGCAAACTGCGGGAGTTAGGTTCCTGGAAAACCCAGAGAATAGTAAATCCACGGTTGGTAAGACTAATGGGAAATAGGGGGTTAGGTGCCACGGCTGCTGATAATACTCGTCAATGTCTAAATAGGTAGCCTGTTTCTTCACTAAATACCTGTGTTGTATATTTCATTAAATTTGAGCCAAGTAAATATAAAATAGCTTTATATAAATTAAATAGTACAGTAATATAAGTATTATAGTATGAGGGGTATTTATTTTTCTTCATTGAGGATGATGTGGAGGGAGAGGACACACTTCCCGACCCGCACCTTAAAGGTAGCTATACGTCCACCTGGCCTTCACATGTATTACTTCAGAACTTAAAGGCACATTTTCTTGGGCCTGATCTTTCATCCATTTGTTTTAGATTATGGTCGCGTGGCATATAAGTAACTTTGCACTTTTCGATGTGCCACCAGCAACATTAGCTTTTATTGTAACCTAACTTTTCTTAATTGTATGAATTGAGGATTAGTTTACTCCCATGGCTCTCAACACGCAGTAGTCTATCAAGTAA